CTGAGCTGAGGCAAATTTATGTGTTAATACTTTTTTTAAAGGAGTATCTTAGTTCATTTGGGCTGCTATCACAAGTCCATAAACTGAGTAGTATAAACAACAAACATTTATGTTCACAGTTCTGGAGGCTGGGAATCCAAGCTCAAGGTGCCAGCAGATTCAGTGTCTGGTGAGGGCCCACTTTCTAATTCATAGATGGTACCTTCCAGCTGTGTCCTCACATGGTAGAAGAGGTGAATGAGCTCCTTCGGCCTATTTTATAAGGACATTAATCCCATGAGGGAAGAACCCCTTATGACCTATCACCTCTAAAAGGCCCCACCTCATAATAATGTCACCTTTGGAGTTAGGATTTCAACATATGAATTTTTAGGGAAGAACAAACATTCAAGACCATAGCAAGGAGTATAGATAAAGCCAAAAAAGAGTGAGAAAGGAGAGTAAGTAAGAAAAGGAGTAAAGATTCAAGAGAATGTGTTACTAAGATGGGCACACTTTGTTCCAAAGCCATTGGCATTGATTGTTCAGTCTCAGCGTACTGTCTCCAGAAAGGCTGTATGAATGAATGTGCCTTAGGATAGTCCATTCAGGACAAGGGGGAAGAAGAGAGAGGTTTATCTGCTGGATTTTGTTGCCTATGGGTCAAAAGTTTGCCTCATGGATATTAATCCCTCCGGTACTCTGTTTTGCAATATATGTGGGTGCCAAGCATTCCATGTCATCTCAGCAGTGACAAGGACACCCCAGGGCTTAAAAGAAAAAGCATGTTGCTTGAGAATAGGGCAAACAAGTCACTGTTCTGGTGAAGTGCCAATCTCTGCAACTGGAGCAAAACTCATAGTCAGGGTTTAGATACTACGTAAGCAAGAGAATATGAGGTGGACCTGAGAGGTGTCTAATCAAAGGTATTATTTTTAGGACTCTTCAACTATCTTGTCTCTGCTTCTTGGGATTTTCTATATATGAACTTCCATCTGAACTTCTACTGATGGTCATTATAACTCCATAATTCTGGAAGTCACTCTCTGGAATGAACCTTATAGCTATGATGTTGAAAGACCAACCAGATGTCTTTGTTTCTAAAACTCTGGGCTTTAAGAGATAAAAAGCAGTAAATAGTGGTCCCAATCCTTCCTACCAACTTTTTTTCCAATAAAGGATTATAAAATCGAAAATTATGTCGGACATTGTAAGTGGGGCTCTCTTTACTTTCTCTCCACTACAGGCGGTATTTGAAATCTACTGGGTCTTTTTTGTGAGACAGAGTTTTGCTCTGTCACCCAGGCTAGAGTGCCATGGTATCAGCTTAGCTCACAGCAACCTCAAACTCCTGGGCTCAAGCTATCCTCATGCTCAGCCTGCCTAGTAGCTGGGACTACAGGCACACACCACACGCCTAGCTAATTTTTTCTATTTTTAGTAGAGACAGGGTCTCACTCTTGCTCAGTCTGGTCTAGAACTCCTGACTTCAAGCGATTCTCCCTCCTCAGCCTCCCAGAGTACTAGGATTACAGGCATGAGCCACTGTTCCTGGCCTACTGGGTCATTTTTAAGGTCCTCTAAGATGTGAGTGCTGGAGGGGTAAGGCACTTCCTGGGTGGGATCCATGGTTCTGAACATCAATCCTTTTAACTTTTAGGTAGATAGTGTGGAAGGACGGAGTTCCTCTGGGGTGATTTTAGAGGCACCAGATGATCCCTGCTTCCAAAACACTTCTTCCATCTTCTTGGTGATGATAAATGAGGAAGAATCTTATGTAGAGAGAGGAGAGAGTTGCAAAATGTCCCTTACCTTAAAGTTACTGGTAATGAATTTTTTCCCCTGAGATTGAGTTTTGATAGAGCAAAAAAGGATAAAACAGAGTCCTGCAACTTTGATGGAGAGAGGAAGGGAAGGAAGGAAGGAAGGAAGGGAAGAAGGAAGGAAGGAAGGAAGGAAGGAAGGAAGGGAAGGAAGGAAAGGAAGGGAAGAAAGAAAGAAAGGGAAGGAAAGGGAAAAGAAAGGAAAAAAATGTTCCTTACCTTAAGTTACTGATAATGAATTTTTTCCCTGAGATTGGTTTTGATAGAGCAAAAAAGGGGATAAACAGAGTCCTGCAACTTATGGATAGAGAGAAGAAAGGAGGAAGGAAGGGAAGAAGGAAGGAAGGAGAGGAAGGAAGGAAGGAAGGAAGGGAAGGGAAGGGAAGGAAGGAAGGGAAGGAGAAGAGGAAGGAAGAAGGAAAGGAAGGAAAGAGAAAGAAGGAAAGAAATTGAAGGCGCCCCAGACCACACTCATCTCTTTCGCAGTGTGGCTTGGATGGCTGGGGCGGTGCAGCTCCCTCTGAGGCTGAAGATCGCAAGCTGTGTTGGGGAAGTCCACACCCCTGGCTTTGTCTTTTTGGGTCCTTTCCCAGAGCCAAGTACAAAAAGAAAATCTTGAAAGCAGCTAAATAAAAAAGGGTCTTTTTTTTCTGGTTATAGAATTATAGGTTGACATTTTTTCCTCTGAACATTAAAAACATATTATTCCATTATCTTGTTTCTATGGGAGTGGTTAACAGTCAGTTTCATTGTTGCTCATTTGAAGATAATGTACCTTTTTTGTTTGATGTTCTCCCAGATCAAGGGAAGCTGGATTTATTTTCTCCCAAGAATGGAGGAAGAAAACAAACAACTGTGTTTAACCTTCTCTGTCCCTGGCACTTTTGCATTCTCCTAGAAGCCTCATGCCATGACTTACATGTTTCTACAGCTTGGGGGACCTCCAGCTCTGTTCTTCGCCCCTCTAGAAAGTCATGACAAAGTGAGGGATCACAGGATGAGGGCACTGCGATGATCAGGATGGAGGAATTTCATAGGAGAGTTTTCAGGGATGAATACTTGAAAGACTTATACTTGAAGTTTGCAAATCCATAAAAATTATGATTAACTTTGAAAACTGAGGGTTGGTAGTGGTTGGTTTGTTTTACTAAATTGCAGACTACAAGATGCAAAGAGTAATCTCTGAGAGCAGGAAGAAGGAAGTTTTGGGCAAATGAGAGTGAGACCTCTTACACTAAAATGAGTCCATTTATCTTTTTTTGTTGTTGTTCTTGGATGTGATAGGAATTCAAACATATAAAGAAGTTCAAGAAAGGTTAAGAGTGCTGTAAAAAAAATCACAGGTCCTTAGCTGGCCATTAAAGGATGTAAGAGATGCTGCCTTCAAGGTAGCTGCAGGGCTCTGAGCATGGACAGAAGCTGCTCCCGCCCGGGGTCGGCTGCCGCAGGAGTCTGTCTGGTCATCGGCTCTGCTCAGTCCTTATATGTGCGGCTTCCAGGGCCAGTTCTGCCTCGGTCTGCTCAACTTTTCTGGGAGGCTGTTGGAAGCATGAATGTGTTTTCGAAGTCTCTCCTCTGCAACAGAGTGGAGGTTTGGAACAGTTAGGTAGTTGCTACTAGAATTCCTGAAAAATAGCAACAAATATCCATAAATAAATATTAGAAATTAAATACAGAATGCTTGGCATTTAACATATTTTTAAAACATTGTTTACCAATTTCTTTCCTCCTTGCCAATTGTCAGAGTTGCCAGACAGCTCTTTAAGATTTGGCCTGGCCCCACCTCCCAAATTATGACCCTGGCTCAAGGAAAACATTATCTGGATTCAGACCAACCAATTGTATCTTTATATTTGCTGATAGAACCAGACTTTATTCCATGCCTGTGTCAAGCACATAAGGAAACGGTAGCCTTAGGATGCAGGACATGGGCTTGCCTTTGACCGCCGAGAAGCAAAAACAGGGATAGCAAGTATGGAGCTGCACTGGCAGTATCTCTGAACCTCCTTTACAAAGTGGCATTGCTAAGCCATATTAGCCCTACTTCTCATGGGGCAGGAACAAAGCCTCACAATCCTTCTCAATGTGACTATCTAAGAAAGGCACTTTTAGAGTGGGCACTGAGATGAAACTCTGATAAGAGCCTAATGTGATTCCCAGAGGGAGGGGAAAAGCCTTATGACAAATGCTAAATTATTTAAAACAGTGCAGAGTAGGTCTTTCCAAAGAGACAACTTGTTGCCCTTAAAATTCCTCCCAACTCCACTATTGGCTGATGCCTAAAATTGTACCATTAGAACGTTCAGCCTTGGAGTGCATAGCCTGGGTCCCTGGAGGGGCAGACACTAAGTCCTATACATGTCTTTACTAATAGACATAATCTATTTTAATTTTCATAATCTGCTATTACTCCCATTTTACAGATGGAAAAATTGAGGCTCAGAGAGTAAATTTCCTTAGATAATACAGGTACTAAGTGACAGAGCCAGGATTAATTAGAATATGTCTACCAAGACCCCTGCTTTCTCCACTGTATCACACAGGCTTCAAGGGGTGAAGATTTGATAAGGGAATGGGGAGAAGGCAGAGGGAATTAAGTTCCTGAGAGAGAAGAAAGAAGAGGGAAACCTGCAAAGAAAAATTACTCAGCTTCCACAGTCCTGCCTGGGGCTGGTCTTGGGTAGAAACAAGAGAACCTAAAAGTGGAAGCTGACATTTCTGCCAGTATCAAGGTAATTGTATTTGTCAGGATTCAGCAAGCTTTGTTTTGTCAGCCAAGAAGAGAGGTAGATGGCAAATATCTGCCATGTGATAGAGGCAACCATAGTAATATAAGTATCAATGTTGGTGCTGTTTTTAATGCAAAATTCTATATTGCTGTAATTCTCTTGATAGACATGAATGTTTCCTTTAACTGGCAGCCCCCCCCCCCCATGCTATGCTGCTCTAGCAGTGGATCTAGTGTATTTGGCACCTGGAGTGGATAGTTTTTAACAACTCCCCTACCATATGACAAAATTAGTTTTGATAATAGTCATGAAATTAAACAAATAATAATGATTGCAGGGAAAGAAATACAATGAAAATTTTCTTTTATTAAACTACACATACATAAGCATGGCAGATAAATAAATACTACAATATTACCAAAAAAGGGAAAAAAAGTAAATACTTTTAAATTGTGGTCATATTTATTTATTTTTTTACTTTGAGAAAAGGGAAAAAACTTATACCTACATGTTGGTAACGCAGAGAACATTACACTTTTTGGTTCTGAGAATTCTGCAAATTTGTCAATGATTTCATCAAAATTAGTCTTCCTTGCATGTTCACATTTAGTAGGCAGTTCAGCCAGATTTGTCAATGTCTACACTCCTCATTGATAGAGGAATACTTTTTGTTCATTTTAATTTCCGAAGTTTTCTTTCCTCTGCAAGCAAAAGCATACAAGGAGTTAAGAAAGTTCATAAGTGTAAAGATAAATTTGACAAAGTTCTGTAGAAATCCCTGGTCACAACCGGTTCCAGAAACGGCAAAACAATCCACATCTTTGTTTCTTCAGGATCGATTGTTCTAGCAGCTTTCAAATGTGTCCACAGTTGAACATTTTTCACTAAAAAGCCATCAACAGGAAATTTATCTTAAGTTTCTATTATATTTGGTTTTCAAGTTTTTCTTCTACAAAAATCAAGTGGCGGAGCGACAGCAAGACTCACCTGAGCCATTGGGCACTTGTCCAGTTCCTGGTGAAACTGACTGAGGCTTCCAAATGCTGCCCCTGAAATTTCTTCTTGCAACGGAAGACGGGCACCTGTGGTCATTTCTCCTAAAATTTCTTTAAATTATTAATACATAGCAGAGAGAATGTGGATTCTCTTTGCTATGTATTAAGAATTTCATTTTCTCTTCCCCCTGCCGTGTGTGCCCTTTTTTAGCTGAAGTAGCAGCCTTCCCTCCACAATTTCTTTGCACTGATATGCAAGAAACGATTTTAAAGTTTGCTGTACCTGTTCGAGGCACATTCTGACAGTCTACAAATATTTTTGCAGGGTTGCATAGAATGACAGAATTGAAGTCACCCAAGTTCCATGCCCCTGTCTCCGCCATCGCTCCCAACATTCTCTCCTCGTCTGCTGTTTGGAACAAACATTGGTAGCTGAGTCCTTGTGAATTAATAACCAAATTAACTTCCATGTGGAATACAATGGTTACTAAAGGAGAGAAAGTAAAAATGTGCTCATATATAACTCAGCAGTACCCACCATTGTTTAGAACTTAGACCAACAAGAGATTATTTGGGGAGGAATATTGTCACTAACATTATATTTTTATTTCCAACACTGGTGGAAATAAAAAGCAGACCAATTTTAGATGGTTTTATTAGTGTTGTGAAATTCTCTACAGACAATCCCTGACCCTTATTGTCTACACCGGAGGAGACTGCACCCATTGCCTGTCCTTGCTACAGCACAGATCTGTCCACTTCACTTTTAATCTAGTACAGCCTTTTTTTTTTTTTTTTTGAGACAGGGTCTTGATCTGTTGCCTAGGCTGGGGTGCAATGGCATGATCATAACTCACTGCAGCCTCCAACTCCTAAACTCCAGTTGTCCTCCTGCCTTCTGCCTTAGCCTACCAAGTAGTTGGAACTACAGGCAAGCACCACCACGCCTGGTTCGTCTTTACAATTTTTTTGTAGCTACGGGGTCTTGCTATGTACCTATAATAATTCAAAATAGTTAATTGAAAAAAGAATTCTTGCTGATTTTATTATTGGCTGGATTGAATAGATTTAAAGACTGAAATCCCACTGGTTTATTTTCTCCTGCTCAAGCAACAGCCTCTTTCCCCGGGAAGAGCCTCAGCAACTTCTCGTCCCTCTCGGCTTCCCTGTCTCTAGAGCCCAGCTCACCCGGGGGAGTCTGGGGTTCCCTTCAGGGGCTTCTGTCTGGCTCCCTGTGTATCCTCCTATTCCTGGCATCTGGAAAGTGGAGTTCTTCTCCCCTTTCAGCCCCTAATTATTAATAGCTTTGGGATCCTGGCAAGAATGACTTTTTCTCATTTTTTTAAAAAAGAGCAAATGTTTAACTGAGTAATTTCTAAGGCCCCTTGCAGAGTCCCCAGGGGCTGGCTGGGAGCTCAGATGACCTTGGCCGGGCTGTCCTGGGCTCCTGCAGACTGTGCCGAGGATGTGAAAGGTCGGCTCCTGGAACCGCCGCTCCCTCTGCCAGGCGTGGCCATAGGCTGTTCCTTGTCCCCGGCCCCAAGAGCCGCTGCTGACTTTTCAGATGATCATGTTTCGTTGTTTGGCATTCTCAGAATCACTGGGCCCTGGAGACTTCCAGATGTCTCTCTTTAACACGCAGAGCCGGACTTCCTGGGCAGTGCCTTCTTCATACAAATGTTCTTGTTTGTTGTGGCGTGCCCTCAGAATGTGCCGGAATGATTTCTAAAAGACAACCACCTGGGGTCACACTTCCGCTCTGGGCACACCTCGCACCTGTCTCACTCCCACCTGTGCTGGAGGATGGGGCAGAATCATTCTGTCCATTTTACAGACGGGAAGCTGAAATGCCAAGGCTTGGAATAAGCCACCCGGGGTGCTGCAGTTGCCCCTTTGGGGCCGAACTGGGACTAGAACACCCTCGGCGCCTACTTCTTATTCTCTCGCCAACCCCAACTCCGCTGGCTTAGCTCGGGCTTGGCTCAGGCCCACAAATCCTGGTTACGCAACTGATAGCAAGCATGCACTCGCCTAGAGAGTATAAATAGACCCAGTGCCTTGCCTCTAAGAATTTATGATTCAAAAATCACAAGATTTGTACATTGAGTAACCAGATGTCTTTAGAAATATGGAAAAGTAGTAATAGCATAGAAATAGCTTGTTTCTATGACTCTGTTTATTTGTATATTTTTCCATCGGGGCATAACAATCTGTTACCTATGTCTGGCAATGATATTTAGGAAATGGCCCTAAAAAAGCTATTCACTGGGGATGTTGAATTTGTGACACATGCCCTGATTGTCCCAGTGGACGTTGGTGCCACACTGTTTGAAACAGAATTTATACACGTGACATCTGTATAAGATATATTAAAAAAAAAACCATTTGCACAAATGACAGCAGTTTACTATGGAAATGATTTTATTTGCAAGGCACCCCTCCCTGAATCCCTTTCAGAATTCCTGGGGCAGATGTTCTTTGTAAAGCCCACCCCCCACCCCCAGCCAGATGGCTCTAATGTGTCCCTATCCCCTTGAGAATGACAGCTTGAGAAATTACCTCTCTCAGGGATATTTGCCATTTCTCAGAGGATTGCATCTTGAAGATTGAGTCAAATTGCTTAGAAATGATTCACAGGGAAATTTTAGCCGTAGGGGTGAGTGGTGAGGGGGAGAGCTTGAGTCCCGGTTACACTCTTCATCTCTTCTATGACATCCACGTTCCCTCCCCTTCCGGGTTAGTCCCACTGTCAACATGAGGTCAGTCCGGAATTAAGGACCTGAAAGGACCCACGAGCCCTCTGCTGGGTTCCTCCTTAATTCCATGGTCACCGAGAATCTCAGAACATGACCTCACTTGGAAACAGGGTGTTTGCAGATGTAATGAAGGGTGAAGATGAAATCATACTGGATTAGAGTGGACCCTCAATCCAATGACAGTGTCCTTAGACATAAAAGGACACACAGGGACACAGAGAAGAAGGCCACGTAACAACAGAGGCAGAGATTGGTATGCTAAGGAACGTCAAGGATAGTAAACAACCATCAGAAGCCAGGAAGGGGCAAAAAAGAATTCTCCCCCAGAACTTTCTGAAGGAGCGTACTGCTTTTGGACATCTGGCCTCCAGAACCAGGAGAAATACGTTTCTGTTGTTTCAAGCCACCAGGTTTGTGGGAATTTATTGCGGCAGCCCTAGGAGACAAATACACTTTCCAAATAACATATCTGCTCCTAAGTCTTTACTTAGGTTCTGCTCTTGGGAGAGAGGAGACCCAAACCAAGATAATAGTGATAAACATCCTCATCTTACAGATGAGGAAACTAAGGGACAGCTTCACCACTCACAAAGCAACTACAGGGTCCAAGCACCTAGCAGCTCTGTTGTAGCTCAAATAAGGCCGAAGCCCACTGTCTAAGTGGTCTGCTGTAGAACATCAGCGATTCTGCAGGTAAACTGAGGACCCACGCAGCTTTGTAAGCTCCGCAGCCCAGCAAAGGGCCTGAGAAAAAGAGAAGCAAACATGGGCTAGTTGGTGTCAGAGATAGGGGCATAAAAATGTGAAAATGGGAGAACTCTTTTTGTAAGCGATGGTTGCAGTGAGAAGGAACGGGGTGGTCATACAGGATGGGGGGAATCATCTCTTCCTTTACACCTTGGAGAAACTGATCAACAGGCATTGCTTGTGAGGATTCAGTTAATCAGAGCGTTTTGCCTGAGAAAATTGCTTTAACAATTAACAGCTGGGAAGAAAACACAAAGGTACTTGTGTTTTGATCTGTTGTTTTGATCTATTTTTCAAGGTAATATTTCTTCCTATTTTTTGAGAGCTTCTGAATGAGACCCATATTTTGTCTTCAGGGAAGAAAATCCTTGAGTCTTCTGGCCTTTTTCTTAATTTACAATTATTCCTGAAAATAATAGAAAAGCATTGGCAACCTACGCTGTGTGTTTTCATAAACTTAAATGACTAGCTGGTCAATAATTCTTTATCTCCTTTGGAAAAGAAAAGTGCCTTCTTCAGTAAAGAAGTGTCCTTGTTAATGGTGACTTAAATCTCCATGGCATTGTTCATTCCCCTCTGGTGGCCAGGGGAGAAGCCATTTCCAGAGGACTGATAGATTCTAGACACAAGCATCACCTGGTCTCCTTGTGCTGCCCAGCTGGTGTGTGACAAGATCAGGAATGGAGTAATCAACAAGAGTGACCCAAAAAGGTGGCCAGACAGAGCATCTGACACCAGTGCCCTTGGGTGGCTGCGATCCCTCCACCACCTTCTCTGGTGCAAAGCTCACTTGTGCCCAGTGCATCTGCCTCTTGATTCCTGAGACCCTCTGAGAATGACTCAGAGGCAGCAGGAAGCTGAGGAACGTCTGCGGGCTGCCATGGTAGCCATTCAATCTCTAGAGGATGACAGGCAGATGGAGGAGGAGAAGGCAAGGAGGCCTCTGGCTACAGGTTTCCAAGAAAGGCAGCAGCTCACTCCGCACAAAGGCTCAGCTGACCCAGGTAGGTTGACATCTTGTGACTGCTCGAACCTCCTTCCTGGTGGGTCTACTATCTATCCCATAACAGAAGGAACTGTACGGAAGTACAGAACGTGGCTGAATTGTTGCTACCGGCTGAGGTGGGTTCTAAGAAGAGCCCTGTTGTATTCTCATGATAAGCACCAAACATATGTTTTGATGGTTCTGGAATCAGATTTAGATCAGCCGGAGTGATTTACGGACTATATTTCAAATAGAGATTAACTTGCTCCCGGGCCACATTTCCCTGGATGCTGTGTAGAAATCCAGCCACTTTGGAAGGATGGATGGGACATTCCTAAGTCAGAAGAGACCCATGTTGCTGCCTGGACAAGGGCTGTAATGCAGGGAGAGGGGGACAGTGCTTAGGAGCCCCAGCGGGGCGCACTCGTGGTCCGGTCTGGGTCTAGAACCAGCTCTTCTCCTAACTAGCTCCCAGCTGGGAAACATCCCCCGTTAGCTCACCTCCACGACAGGTGCGCCGTGATCACCTGCCTCTTCCATTCCTAGTGTTTCCTGATCTTGCCCTCAGACCACTGTGCAGGCGCTCAGTGGTTCTCTTGGATGGTGCAAAAAGGGTTCCTACCCCTTAGAAACTCATAAATGAAAAAGAAGAGAATTTATAGATGGGTGTTCTCTTCTCCCCCAAATAGTAATCATGGAAAACAGCCCCTTTTCCTTGGAGGACAGAGAAAACGAGTCAGAAATAAGAAGATGGCAGTTCAGATTGGGAGAGAACTTCGAAGGAACACCTTTAGAAAGGCCGTCAAAGAAGGTGAGGACCTGTGGATTTCCTCTCCATAAATGGTCACAGAACTATAGAATCAAACTAATAATCGAGTTATCTCATATGTGGCGGTGTCAGCTGCAGCTGGGAAGGGGTGGGGAGAGAAAACTACCACCCTCGGCTTCCAATTATGCTATATAACAGTTGAAATTCTGTGGAGTAAATAATTATCTCTGTGGGTTTAACAAAAAACAAAACAGCAGAACACCCCTTAGTCATCTGTCTGAGGTAAGGCTTTAATATACATTTAACACATGCATTTTGTTATTCGTGCCCTGATTCAGAGCAAGGCATGAGCCATTCATACCTCCAGGGGGTAAATGACTGGTTCTTTCGATAAATTAGGTTTTTGTTTTCATTTCCTGTTAGAATCTTTGTCTTCAGTTTTTAATT